CAGCGAACACAAAATCAGTTGCAGGTTGCAATCTGTTAAGTGAATAAACAATTCCATTCTACAAGACATTTGGATAAAATACTCTCCAACTGTAGCTGAGAAGCTTTTTAAGCAGTAACAGTTAGCCAGCCTCTAGCTCAAACACAACTATTGTTATTCATCATCATGAAATGGCATTCACACATTTACATGCAGGCAGATCAAGGCTGCATCCCTGTTCAAGAACCTGACAGCCTAGAGGCAGCTTTCTTCATCTCTGGTCCTAGCAGACCATATTGCTGCAATACCTCCTTTGTGAGACTGCAGCAAGAACAACTGACACAAAGTTTCTAGCACAGAGGGGCAAATGGCTCAGAGAGGTTAAGTAACTTGCCAAGAGCAGACAGCTAGTGAGACACTGGCATTCCACACTGAGATGTCATTTCCTGTCAAAAGCTCTTTCAGTTACCAAGAGTACTATTAAGCATAGTTAACATACTTTGAACACATCCTACGTGTCAGGGTCTATAGAAAGCACTTCATATGGATCTCTGCATTTAATTCTCACCATAACTTCAATATAATTTCAAACCATCAGTTCACAGTAAAGGAAGAAAATTGTTGTCAGATATATGTTCATACGCCCAGTCTCACTTAAAATTACAGTGAGATCATTTTTCATCTCTGAGATTGCTAGTACCGTTGGTGAGGCAGGGGTCAACAGAGAGCTCCCACACTGTGTGCAAAAGGGTCGACTGGTACTTCTGCGAAGGGCAATTTGGCGATTTGCATCAAAATTACAAATGCCCATACACCCCTAAGCAAGAAATTCCACTTTTCAGCATCTAACCTACAAACATTCTCAACCACGTATGAAATGACACAGGAACAGTATTATCCATTGTAGCATGTCTGTCCTGCCCACCAATGAGGAAGTGGTGGCACAATGATCCCTTTGTACAATGGAGTCCTACACAATCATAAAAAAGTGTGCCCCTTATAAAGTGATATAAAATGATCTCTAAAATATTTTGGTTAAAAATCAAATAAGATGCTAAACACCTAGGATAGGGTAGCTCTGGAAAAACACACAAGAGACTTATATAACATGAAGACCTTGGGGGGAAAGGAAATGATAGAGCTGGGAAAGAGGATTTGAAGGACGATTCTTAAGGCTTGATTCCTAAAGGTTCCTGTTTCCAGCCACTAGATTAGGGAAAATTCTCACTGCCTGAAATAGACAATAAGGGAAACTGGGTTTGGAACTTGCGAGTGAACTTTGCAGTCAGAGTGGGGAATGTTGCACCTAAAGGGACAGACTGAGGGCTTCAGTGAACTCACAGAACAGGATGAATGACTTGTTCTGGCCCGCCCGAGTGCTTGATTTTGATTGCATGTGTAACAGAATTTGGTGGGAGACTTGCGTTATGGAAGCCTGGGAGCAAAATAAGGGTGAGAGGGGGAGATAATTCTCACCTATCTCAGATCTCTTTAGTTGCTACACTCATCTACCAAAAAGAAGCCAGGAGTTACTCATTACCAAAATGGCAACATCCTGCCAGTGAGGCCGCTCCAACTGCATTTCACTGTGAAATTCATTGCAGATAACAGTTAAAAACCAGTAATTTATCCTCCAAACTCCAGTGGACATATGTCAGGCTCTTGTGAGAGCTTTCCCCATGTGCTTGATTCCAGGTCCCTGGCAAACATTCGGCTGGGGTGAGAGGTTCAACCATTCCTCCTGGAAAATACCCAACTTGGGTGAGTGCTTTTTTGAAGCGCCGGCTTGAGGTAGAGGGAAATCACTCTTGCCTCTTCTCTGGGTGTGAAAACCCCAACTGTGCTTCGATAAGCAAGGTACACACAACGTGTGTTCTTTCACACCCTTGGGCCTTTGTATGCGTTGTTACATCTTCCTGTCTCCTGGACTACTTCTAAGTGACACCTCTTCAAGAATTAAGTCCAGACTAATTTTTATTAATGCAATGAATACTGGGTGCCACTCAAGCACTGCTTCCTCTATAACCTCTGCTGCATCTTGGATATACGTGTCATTTCAGCCCTATTACACTGCCCTGTAAAGTGTCTGCCCCCCGTTTCCTTCCCCACTAGAATATTAAATCCTTCAGGGCAGAAATGTTCTGCGTGGTGCCCAAGACACAGCAGGCACTCTTAAAACAACTGTCGTGTAGAATGTGTGGATAAAATGCATTTGCTGAACCTAACTTATTCCTACTTTTTTTTTTTTTTGGAAACGACTTGCCTTTCTCTGCTTTCTTTCTAATTCACATCCAAGGTCGTGAGGCTGCTCTCCACAGAACTTTCGGGACAATGGACCCTGTGAAATTAGCCTGGCTATGAAAGCAGCTGTGATTTTGCTCCCCGTTTCCATCTTACTGGAATAACCACACTGCCCCACAACGCTTGGCCACATCTAATTTGGCCTAGATCATGAGGAAAACGAATACTGAAAGGGTGAGGTAAAGAGTATAATCAGTTCACCTTGCTTAGACTCCATCTAAAATTCACAGTAACTAAAATAATTTAGGAGAACATAAGGGATAAGCATGCAATCTCCACAAAAATCAAATGTAGTAAAAACCATGTGACAGCATTCACAAAATCTAAAGATCACACATAATCTATCTTATAACGCATGGATTCAAACTTCAATCTCATTCTAATGGGCTACCGCGAGGGAGATAAAACTATTTTAAAGAAAAAACTGTATACAGAATAAATGTATGAGTTTCCTGGTGACTCTCAATAAGGCTTCAATGTATTTTCTTATTGAAACAATCAAACAAGCTCTTGGCGAAAAGATCTGATATTGGTGTCAGAACAACGTAAGAATTGAAACTATTTATAATGTAAAAATTTTGTTTAAAGCAGATACATCACTTCTTATTTTTCTCATTCTGAAAAGAAGCGATGTTTCATTTAGCACAAAAAGATTTGATATTGGTGTCAGAACGATGTAAGAATTGAAACTATTTATAATGTAAAAATGTTGTTTAAAGCAGATACATCACTTCTTATTTTTCTCATTTTGAAAAGAAGCGATGTTTCATTTAGCAGTAACTCTTCTCTCATTCTATGAGAGAATCTGTACAAAAGCAATATTTCAACTAAAATCAGTTCTGAAGGATATTTTTATGAAAATGCATAATGCAGAAGACCCAATTAAATTTCCAACAAAGCACTGCCATCTTGAGTAAACAAAGTCATCTCACTAGGGGCACACTTTTTGCAAGAAATGCAGCCTAGAAATTAATTACTAGTGTGACATATGTCAAAACAAATTTTTAGGGCTTCCCTGGTGGCGCAGTGGTTGAGAGTCCGCCTGCCGATGCAGGGGACACGGGTTCGTGCCCCAGTCTGGGAAGATCCCACATGCCGCGGAGTGGCTGGGCCCGTGAGCCATGGCCGCTGAGCCTGCGCGTCCGGAGCCCGTGCTCCGCAATGGGAGAGGCCACAGCAGTGAAAGGCCCGTGAGCCACCAAAAAAAAAAAAAAAAAAAAAAAAAAAAAACCACAAGTTTTTAAAAGAATAGAATGCAGTTGTAACCATGTGTTTTATCTATTTGTATGCATAACCAGTATTCTCTGGCATGTAAATACATTCATTTATTCAGCATCTCTCAGAAAAACAAAAAACGGTTTATTGCCCCCTCTTTTTGCACCTCACCCAGGTGAAACCTGAGTAAATAACATGTGTTTAGTGAGTGGGAAAATAAGTACAGAATGAAGATACAGTGCAGGTGGTATTTTGAAAGGCAGAAGTCATCTTCACACAAATAACTAATTTTGAAACATTCAGTCTCCCTTCAGGAGTTTTTCCAAGATACACATCAACTACACCACACTACACTAAAGGTTATTACTTTGTGGAAATCAAAGCTTTAAATAACATGTAACAGTGCTGGTGTTTCATAAAGAAGACTGTAATCTACACTAACAACAAACAAACAAAATAAACAAAAAGACTACCTGGAAGTAAAATTAAGACTTCAAAGATTTCAATATTCTGCTAATTATGACAATATGTATTTAAATTAAACACATTTTTATAAATGAGAATGTTTTAGCATCCAAGGGAAATCCAAACAGAAAACAAGGATTCAGAGCAGAGGTATGCAGAATCTCTTCTGTATTTTAATAGATTATGTCCTAATCCTTTTCACAATGTACACCTATATCAAATCATCACACTGTACACTATGAATGCCTCACAATCCTATTTGTCAATTATATATCAAAAAGCTAAAAAACAAAAAACCCTAGGATTTAAACTCACTAAAAAAAAAAAAACTTACGTCCCAAACCAAAGACTTCTCTTATATCCCAAATCCCAGTTATCTATAAATCAACTTTTAAACTTCAAAATAGCCTCCTCTATATGAGCCAAAAATTAAAACATGCTTCCTGCAGTAATATATGTACTAAAATCACTTTGCTTTTTCAACCAAAAAAAGAAAACACTGACCACATATTGAACCACAGAATTTCGGAACTGGAAGGCTTGCTCTGGGGGCACACTGCACTGCAAGTCACGGGCAGGGTCAGCTCTCCAGTGCAGACTGAACTTCCCAATTCATCATATTTTGCTATCAGGAAGACAAGAGCTAACTGCATGATTTTTCACATAAAAATAGACCTTTGGGACACTTGTCTCCCAGGGTGCTTCTTTCCTTACCAATTTTTCACTCATTCTGTATATTACAGTAATTAACTTGATATCTTACCCTTAGTAGTTATTTCTTCCTATCTTAGCTATCACAGCCATGTAGCCGCCTATGATAAGACTGAAGCTCTAGGATGGGCCTTCTGACCACTGGGGCTGCTCTTTCAGCTGACCCATCCTACCCAGTCATCAGATGTAAGAGCCGAGATAAGACTAAACAGTGTTTTAAAAAGTGATAATTTCCCTTTGTAATTTCTTAAACCAGTCTCTCCAAATAAATTTACTAAACAAAGCATATCATTCTTTTGTAGTTCAATATTGGAAATTAAGTTACTTACCTCTCTTAAAACAGTGCTTTTGTAGCCTCGATATAATCCTTGGATGCCCTGAAACAAACAAAAAGCCAAGACCTCAGAAAGTTAGAATAGCAGAGACTTCTAAATGACATTCTGCATGAAGCACATTTACCTATTATAAAGTTTTGAGTTTTGAAATATTCACTATGACTACAGTTCTATAAGAGGTTAAAGCTTCTAAACTGGCTTAGAGTATATAAAGCTCAGATCAGCTCCCTTTAAAATGGGAACATCTCTAATAATAAAGCTGACTACATATTAATTAAACTTTACTTATTTTCAACATTTCTTCTCTTGAAAAAAAATACTTGAGAAGCTTTAAATAAACATATTTTCAAAACCAAATGCACACAGAATGCCAGTTATCCTTTCACAAAAGAACAGAACTATATTTTATAGTTTCAACTATAAGACGTCACAATGCATGAATAATCTCTCAATAGTGAGAGATACCTCTAGACAAGCCTTGGCTTATCTGTTTAACTATCCACACGATTCAACAGGGACCCTTTACTGAACTGATCTCAATCACACAATTAAACACTCAATGTCTGCTCACCTAGGTGACAGAGGGATTAAGAATAAAACTTTTCTAAAACCTAGACTCACTGAAATTTTCATGTGACTGATTCCACTTTAAAGAAAAAAAAGGGCTTCTGTACAAACTATAAAGAAGAGCAGCTCACTGGTCCCTAGCCACATGGCCAGCATGCATGAAATTTGATCCACAGGTTAACATGAACCAGTACAAGACGAATTACATTTTTATATAAACATTACGACATTGGTCACTAGTATCAGTCCATTACCACAGGTCTCTTCCATGGGTCCTCAAATTCTATACTGATGTTTTAATATAATATCTTTATTCACTTTACATATTCACTATTTATTCCATATCTGATTCCAAAAGAATGATAAGACTACTGCAATGTAGGACACACACTTAGTAGTGTGGTTGTTTAGAAATTTGAAAAAGAAATAAAAATGAAACTAAAAATTTTGAAAACAATGGAAAAGCAAAGATAATCTTAGCATAAAAAGTTGCTATAATTGGACAATAAATTTAGCTTTAAGGTCTCTTCTAAGGCTCCTAGGATGAGGGCCACAGTGTTCCTATTAGCTACCACACAATATTCTCAATAAGAGAGCTTAAAAACATATTCTCACCTCTTGACATAAGATGTTAGAGAAAATGTGAAATGTTCCTGAAGAAGCAGATACCTGTGCCCTCTGCTTAACTACTTCAGAAGGAACTCGAATCAGGCAAGCAACCTAAAATATACAAATTTAATTATATCCTTAAAAAGAAGTAACTGCTATGAAAAAGGAAACAGCTTCATAAGCAAAAATTACAGTTAAACAAAAGCATAATGTACAGGCTCAGTTCAAGATGCAAAAAGTTGGGGGTTTTTTCGGTTTTGTTTTGTTTTTTTAACCTAAAACAGAGCATTACTGGACATGCATTGTGTTACCAACACAGAACCTCTCCTCCCTGGTCCCACGTAGATCCTCCTACCTCCTGCCTCACTCTCCAAACAAATCTGTCTGTAAGCCATTCGATGGGAAGAAGCACATGCACTCATTCTGAACTCCCAATACCTATGAGGACATCTGGTGGTCACATGACAGCCATTTCAAACATGTTTGCTCAATGAATGAATCAAAAGGGCCTTAGCTTTACTGGAGTAACACACGTCAGTAGTAGAGGCAAGACTGAAAAGCGGCTGGTTACCCCAAACCCTCCAACCCAACCCACCCCCAGCCTCGGCCAGCTCCCAACCGCAGCACCCCCCGACCTCCCCACCACCCAACAGCTGAGGAGTAACTCCAGGCACTCCCGGGCCCTGCTCCAGCATTTGAGTTGACGTAGGTCCCGACTAGTCAACAAACAATTGTAACATCACCCTTGGTGACATGCCAGGGTCAGTTACACGCCACTCAACCTCACACTTCCAGGACTCCGCCTTCAGTAGCCCACTTATCTTCAGAAATATTAAGAATTGGTCAAACCGGAAAGAACTGGTCTGCCCACTGAAGGACAGAACGCAGGGGAAAGGGCAGCAGGCGACAGGGAGGGAGACATATAAACTGATATTTTAAACTGTTTTAATGGAAGTCCTGTATTGAAGCCTCTGTACACTAAGCAGCCTGTCAAGGATACAAACTTTTTTTCCAATGTGGAATTCACACACCTGACTCTGGTGTTCAGTATTTTGTATATGGTTAAGGAGATTAATTTTAAAACTTTCACAATATATATTTCATATACAAATATATGTATTTGAGGCACAGTAAGAAATGTGGACAATCTTCAGTGACACACGCAGCAAAATGGAAACAACAGGAAATTTAACAAAACCGTCCCATCAAACAGGATGTTTGCCCTTTTCAAGAGTCTCCTAATTCCTAATTTGAGATGACTACCCAATTTGGATATTATATAAGGCTTTGTCTTTCTAATGTTAAGTAGCTCTAAGGTACAAATCAGCAAACTTTTAATGTAAAAGATCAAATAGTAAATATTTTAGACTTTGCCAGCCAGATGGTCTCTGTCACAACAGTGCAACCATGCTGTGGGAACACAAAAGCAGCCATAGATAATAATGTGTAAGTGAATGGTGTGACTGTGTTCCAATAAAACCTTATTTATAAAGACAGGTGATGGTCTGCCAACCCCTGCTCTAGGTATAAACACTGGCAAATCCTTCTTTGGTATTAGCCTTGGTAAGAGCAGAGCAGGCACAGAACAGATGTAGGCCTCAGCAACCCCAGGAAACAAGGGATAGGGATGGCAGGTAATGTGATTCTAGGTGTCATGGAGTCAGCTAACAAGGGTGTATCACCTCTGAAAAGTAGCTCAAAAGTAACAGTACTTTTTGTGGACGCACTCCAACTGATATGGTTTGGATAACACACCAGTTGGAGTGCATTAATGACCTGAAGTTATTTTTCTCCCCAAACTGACAAGACTCACAAAACAATATAATCTACTTTCTTTTTCTTCGTTCATCAAACATTTGAATGCCTTTTGTCTGCAAAGATATCTACAATTTGAGCCAATGTATCTTTCCACCCACAGTCTCCCTTCAAATTTACCGGATTCAGTTCAACAAAAACATGTAGAGCCAGACACTGCACAAGACACTGCCTGGTAAAGAAGACTAAGATGGTGCCCTGACTTCAAAGAACTCACAGCCACGTATAAATAGTTTCAATAATATTGATACATGGCAAGAGACAGAGTAAAATTAAAAAGAGGCAAAGACAAGTATCATAGCAAACGGAGAGGAGGGGTATTTAGTCCAACCTCCAGACTGAGGGAAAACTGCCAGAGATTATGCCTTCACAGAACCTTCCAAAGGAGCAAGAATTAGCTGGCAAGAAAGGTAAAAACGGCATGATGGGGAGTGGAAACAGAAAAGCACACAATACGAAAGCAGGGTGTTCAGGGGTAACAGAATCATCCCATATCAAGTTAGCATTCCACAGTGTGTTCCCACCCAAGCCACTCCCTATCACCAAAACCTTTTTAAGGTCAAGAGTAATGGGGAGTAAGACTGAACAGACGGCCAAGAAGGCCCTGTATGCCATGCAAGGAGCTTGGACTTCATTGCATAGACAATGGGACCAACTGGAACAGTTTAGGCAGAGGATCTGTAGCAACATGGGTGGAGTTGGAGGGCATTATGCTGAGCGAAATAAGTCAGAGAAAGCCAAATACTGTATGGTATCACTTAGATGTGGAATCTACAAAATACAACAAACTAGTGAGTGCAACGAAAAAGAAGCTGATTCACAGATACAGATAATAAGCTAGTAGTTACCAGTGGGGAGAGGAAATGGGGGAGGGGCAATATAGAGGTAGGGGATTAAGAGTTACAAACTATTACGTATAAAATAAGCTACAAAGATATATTGTACAAACACGGATAGTTTGTGTTGTGTACAACACAGCCAATAGTTTACAATAACTATAAATGCAATATAACCTTTAAAAGTTGTAAACTACTATATTGTACACCTGTAACATATAAGTACATCAACTATACTTCAATAAAAAAATAAAATAAAATACACACAAAGTTTGGGCAGAGGAATGATAACCTGTGCTTTAGGGACATCACTCTGGCTGCAGTAGGTAGAAGAATAGTTGCAGGATAGAAGAGAAAGATAAGAAGCAAAGAGGAAAGGCAAAAAGAAGGCAAGACACAAGCTCTGAGACTACTACAACAGTTCTATAGAAGATACCAGGAAATGAATATGGCTCAGAGAAGAAGGTTCAAATTTGAGGGAAGAGTCAGGAGTAAAATGAAAGGACCTGGTGACTGATAAGAGGTCAGGAGTGGGGAGAGAGTAAGATGCTCCTACAATACAGTGGTGCCATTAAATGAGACCAGGGGGGCAGAGGAGGAAAAACAAGTTTAGAGCAAAAAGGATAAATTCACTCTGGGGAATGCTGAGCAGGAGAAATCTGTGGCACATGTAAGGGGCTGTGTCTATCCAAGAAATTAATATCTGGCTATAAAGCTAGAAAATAACAAGGCTAGAGATACAGACATAGAAGTCATCAGCATATAGGTGATGGCTGGAACCAAGAGAGTAGATTACCTAAATAAAGAGCAGGGCTTCCCTGGTGGCGCAGTGGTTGAGAGTCCGCCTGCTAATGCAGGGGACACGGGTTCGTGCCCCGATCTGGGAAGATCCCACATGCCGCAGAGCAGCTGGGCCTGTGAGCCATGGCTGCTGAGCCTGCATGTCCGGAGCCTGTGCTCCGCAACGGGAGAGGCCCCAACAGTGAGAGGCCCGCCTATCGCAAAATAAAAATAAAAATAAAGAGCAAAAAGGGTAGGTCAAAAGGCCAAGAATGGAAGCCCAAGGAACATCCACTCTTACAGAGCAGACAAAAAGAGAAGAACTGATCAGACATATGAGAAGGAGGAAATCGCTATGGTGAACACTGGTCTTCTGTGGCCGCCCAGTTTTCAACTCTCATATGTGAGAGGCTTCCCAGCTCAAGAAAACAAAGGGCTCAGTCACTCTCCTCCCTGGCCTTGTCACCAACTTAGGTCCAGCCACAGGCTTGCTGCCTCATGAGAAGTGTGGCTTGTATATCCTCCAGCGTAACCTTGTCACACAACTGGATTCCAGGCAAGAAAGGGCCTCTTTTTTTTTCAGAGGTCCCCTAGTTGGTGTCCGCTTGGCCACAATTGTGTGACACGGCCACCCCTTGTTAGGAAGGCTGAGAATATGTAGATCTAGCAAAGGGTTAGGTAGACTGCCACCCAAGCCAAACTGAGGGAGAAGCGGAAAGTAACTTAACAGTCTCTGCCAACTTTCCAAAAACCAACCTTTTTTCCCACAGGTTAGCCAAGATCAATTTCAACTGAAAGCGACCAAGAATGCCACTCGATATTCAAGGGGACCAGAAGTCTCAGATGGAGATTTGCAGAGCAAGGGGTCAAGAGTATCAACCAGTGCACACATGAGGGTTACTGGAGTTCCCAAGAATTGTTTCAATGGAGGGCTGGGCCAGGAGACCCATTACAGTGAATTCATAAGTGATTCAGAGATGAAGGCGGGCAAGTAAAGAACTACACCAGGAAGCTGGTGGAGACGTTAGGAGAGATGGGTTCATGGCTAAAGGAAGTTCTTTGTCTTATCGAGGATGGTAAGTATTTGTACATAGGATGGGGGAAAGTGGTAACAGCAAGGCAGAGACTGACAATTTAGGAAAGAAATGGGATAACACATGAAGACCCCAGAGGCTATGAAAAAGGTAGAGCCAGGAGCCCAAGCACATGCCGACACTGCTAGGATGACCGCCTTTGCCTGTGCTGCCCCTCAGCATAGGGTACCATCCTGCATCTAAACTGGGCTTTTCATTCAGGGCTCAACTCCAGGAGGGAATGAGCAGTGGTCTGGGTGAGGGTCTTCAGACCTAGACTGTGGCCCCAGCTTTGTCAGTGATCTCTCAAGCATTGTTGGACCAGAAATCTTCATGGTACCCTTTTAGGCTTTGATTTCTAAAATTCTTAATTTTCTCCAATCATACCTTCTCTTTTCTACTTCAAAAGATTCTCCTTATTCTCCAAATAAACTATTTCCTCACTATTCTCATTCCCCCCAAAAAAACTATTTTAACTGAAAATTTTTTACTTATTAACTTATACCATATAGTTTTTAAAATATATTACTTTCTCTCCTACTAAACATAAATACTGTGAGGGCAAAAAGAAAATATGCATTAATTTTACTAATCAACTGGAGTCAAC